GTCTCTCTCATCATTTCTGTCATTCTTACTGGCAGCTATTGCAGAGTTTGTGGATCATTCCTTCTTAGAAAGGGACTGAATAGGAAAGGGAGGTACAGCACGGAGTCTCCACATAGGAAAGCGAGTCTGTCAGAGAAGCCAGCATGAATCCTGTCCCACATCTGCTTCCAATTACTGCAGAAAATGGATCTCCCAGTCACACTGGCCCCTGTCAGACATGTTTACAGTAAAAGTCATATATCAAAACTGCAAACCCTGCACAAATGTTTTTCAGGAAGTCACATGAAAATAGGCCTCTTATAGCAAGAATTTCATGTTTTAACTCGCACCAAATATGCATGATGTAGAATACAGAGATATTTATAAAATATCCCACAGTCAACCTACACACATACACAGATACAGGCTCACAAACATACACACACACACAGCTACACACAGGGCTGAACACAGTCACACAGCTACACACAGGGCTGAACACAGTCACACAGCTACACACAGGGCTGAACACAGTCACACAGCTACACACAGGGCTGAACACAGTCACACAGCTACACACAGGGCTGAACACAGAGTCACACAGCTACACACAGGGCTGAACACAGTCACACAGCTACATGCAGGGCTGAACACAGAGTCACACAGCTACACACAGGGCTGAACACAGTCACACAGCTACACGCAGGGCTGAACACAGTCACACAGCTACACGCAGGGCTGAACACAGTCACACAGCTACACGCAGGGCTGAACACAGTCACACAGCTCACACAGCTACACACAGGGCTGAACACAGTCACACAGCTACACGCAGGGCTGAACACAGTCACACAGCTACACACAGGGCTGAACACAGAGTCACACACACAGCTACACACAGGGCTGAACACAGTCACACAGCTACACACAGGGCTGAACACAGTCACACAGCTACACACAGGGCTGAACACAGTCACACAGCTACACACAGGGCTGAACACAGTCACACAGCTACACACAGGGCTGAACACAGAGTCACACAGCTACACACAGGGCTGAACACAGTCACACAGCTACACGCAGGGCTGAACACAGTCACACAGCTACACGCAGGGCTGAACACAGAGTCACACAGCTACACACAGGGCTGAACACTGTCACACAGCTACACACAGGGCTGAACACAGTCACACAGCTACACGCAGGGCTGAACACAGAGCCACACAGCTACATGCAGGGCTGAACACAGTCACACAGCTACACGCAGGGCTGAACACAGAGTCACACAGCTACACATAGGGCTAAACACAGTCACACAGCTACACACACAGTCACACAGCTACACGCAGGGCTGAACACAGAGTCACACAGCTACACACAGGGCTGAACACAGTCACACAGCTACACGCAGGGCTGAACACAGTCACACAGCTACACGCAGGGCTGAACACAGAGTCACACAGCTACACACAGGGCTGAACACAGTCACACAGTCACACAGCTACACACAGGGCTGAATACAGTCACACAGCTACACGCAGGGTTGAACACAGAGTCACACAGCTACACATAGGGCTAAACACAGTCACACAGCTACACACAG